GATTTTCTGTGTGTGTTTCAACATTTTTACAATTATGTATCTAACATGTATCTCTTTATGTTTATCTTACTCAGAATTTGTTGAGCTTCTTGAATGTAGATTAATGTTTTTCATCAGATTGGGACGTTTTCAGCCATTATTTCTTTGAAAACAATTTTCTGCTTCTTTCTGTCTCCTTAGCGTCCACCCGCTACCTCACGCACGGTACATGCTTAATTGTGCTCCGATCCCTCTGTCTGTGCTCACTTTTCTTCATTCTTTTCTGTTAGTTTTTAAGATCACATAATCTCTATTGACATGTCTCATATTCACTGATCTTTACTTTTCCTGCTCAAATCTACGGGCAAACCCTTTCAACGAATTTTTCATGTTGGTTAAACCCCAGAATTTCCATCTGGTTCTTTTGTATAAATTTTCTCTCTTTATCAATATTCTCTGTTGGGTAAGACATTCTCATTGTACTTTTTTCTACTTCATAGGCATAATTTTTTTTAATTCTTTGAACATATTTATGGTGCTATTTCTAAATCTTTGTCTGCCAAACTAATTTCTGGGCCATCTGAAAGGCGGTTACTCTCGTCTGCGTTTTTCACTGTGTTTGGGTCACACTTTCCTGCTTCTTTACTTGACTCATTATTACTTGTTGAAACTCGGACATTTTAGGTAACATATTATTTCAGTTCTGGTCACCAGCCCTCCCCGGCCTGGCTGCTGCTGCCCATGTGCTTGGCACCTGGCCGTGCTGTGCATGGCCTCCGCCCTAGCCTCCACGCGGAGCCTCCGACGTTGGCCTCGGAAGGCGCAACCCTGGGGCTCATGCTGCTGTCCCATCTCTGTCCCCCCGTCTGTCCCTGCGGGTGTCACACGCTGCTGTGAGCCTCCACGAGCGCCTGCTGCTCTCCGTGTTTTCAGTGATGCCTCCAGAGCATGAATCACTCCACAATTTTACCAAAACCGTCCCCTTTGCGGGGGTCTCTGAGGCTGGTTCCCACCGCTGAGGGGCTCTCGGCTGTCTCTTCTTCTGGTCCCCCCGTCACTTTCCAGATCACCTGAGGTGTAGCTTGCTGCTACATAGAGCTACCATCTTACCTGTTTATCACCAAAATTATCATTGTTTTTGATAGTACCTTTGAACTTCCCGATTATCTGTTCCAAAAAAGTCACTTCCCTTGGGGAGAGCCTGGAACACTCTGTTCCTGCAGCCTGGTTCTCTCTCCGCCCAGGTGGCCGTCGTGGTCTGTTATTTGGTGCCTAAGTCAGTCTTTTCCTCTAAATATCTCTCCGCACCTTCCATGTGGGTATATCCAAGCCAGTGAAAACCCCGAGTTCACGCTGGGTTCCTCGTCTTATCACAGAACACAGAAAAGGATTTGAGTACAATATTCCCAATTCCTTCTGCTGTTCTAGACTATTAGGGGAGATGCTTATTCATTATCTGTAGTGAATGCCTCCAAGCTTTAGGGCTTCGTTCTCTTAGAGAATCCTCGTGGAGCAAGGCTATCCTCTTAATCTTGTGTTCTGAATGCCCTGTTTTCAAGATCAGTTTTCTTTACCAGCAAGACTGGTTCTGTAAAGGATGCTTCTTAACAGCAGCTGTGATCTGCCGCCTCTCCTGGTGGCTGATTGCATCGTGCAGTGGTTCACGAGGGGTGGGGGCCGGACCTCAGGCAACTTCAGACTCGTTTTTCCAGGGATGCCCAGGGCTTAGCCAGGAGGCCAACACAGGGGTCATTTATGTTTATCAGTCTTAACCTTTAGACTCCCAGTTTCTACAGGGTGGGAGGTGATAGCCCCCTAGCTCCTGGATCATCACAGGTACTGCATAATTGTCCAAATTAGTGTGTTGGTTCCTGCCAGATACCTGCGTCTGGGATAGGGGTCAGTCTGGGGACAGGGGAAGTTATCCTGGCAAGGAGAGAGATGGTGGTAAAGAGAGTTGAGATTGTGAGAGGTGAAGATTTTAAATCAGCGGTCTAAGGAAAGATAACGCTAAGACTTCGTTTAAATACTGTTAATGTTTTCTTTTGGGGACAATTTTAGCAAAGCCCAAGGCTCTGAAAACCCTGACACGTGGCTTGTCTTTGGATTTATCCAGCTGTTTCTTGTGCACCCAAAGCCAGAGCTCACACTGGGTCATCGAGCCTGGTCAATCTTGCTTTCACTCAAGACTGGAATTTGAAAGAAAAATGACTCTGCTTTTCTCAGGAAGAATTTAGATGAGCTCTTTCACTTTAGTGAAGAGGAAGGTTTAAGCTGAGGGGAGATTACTGTTAGAGATCAGAGTACGGTCTCCAAGCTCCCTAGGATGGGTGGGTAAGGGAGGGAAGGGAGGGGCTGGTGGGACGGCCCCCGCCTAAGTCTGGTTTGCGTATGGAGACTGAGGATGTGACGCTCACCGGGAGGCGTGAAACTGGTTATTGCCACGTCACAGAGCTTTCTGGGGAGCTCGGGGCAGGCTCCCAGGAGGTCCCAGGACGGCTCAACCGAACAGGCCGCCCAGGGAGGGAGCCCCGGGCTTTGCTGTCAGAGCACCTGGGCGCAGGGCTGGGAACCCGCTGGGAGCCAAACGTCACAAATGGGGCAGGAGTGTCCTGCGGGAGGACAGCAGCAGGGGTCAGCCGCGTGGGTTTGACACCAGCCGCACACAGGAGAGGCCTCTGGCAACAGTTCTCTCCCCAGGTTTCCCCACAGGGTGGCTGTCGTCTTTAAATTCTTCTGTTTAAGAATTTATTTAATTGAATGACAAATTGAATTTGTGGCTAAGTTTTATTTATTTTTTATTGATACATAACAGATGTACATATTTTTGAGGTACGTGTGATAATTTAATACATTCATATAATCTGTAAAAATCAAATCAGTGTAATTAGATTATCTGTTACCTTAAATATTTGTCTTTGTGCTGGAAACATTCAAATTATTCTCTTCTAGCTATTTTGAAATATGCTATAACTGTAAACTGTAGTCACCTTGATGATGTATCGAACACCAGGTTTATTTCTCTTATCAAACTGTGATAGGGTTAACTTTCAATGCAAACTTCTTAAGAAGCTTTTACCGAATTTTCAAATGGCTCCTACGCTGTGCCAAGAGAGGGTCAGATGCTCCAGTGCTCTTGCAGGACGTCTGTCTTCATTCCAGCTGCGGAAGTAAACCCGGCAGTGCCGCCCACTGGCTCCCCAAGTTGTCTGCGGCTCTTGACCTGGTTCTCCATCCAATCCGCGGAGTCACAAGGAACACAGGATTATCTTACTCTCATTTCGAAAGAACTGAATAGAGATCAGATAGATTTTCCTTACGGCTTTGCCTTGCTTAACTGTTCTAAGGTGTACCCAGCAGAAGAACATACCAGCTGGAGTAGCTGCAGGGTCACGGGCGGAAATTTATATTCTCTGGGTGTGTATGTGTCAACACTATGCAAGGCTATTTTGTTATCTAAAAATGCATTCTTGTGAGATACAGATTATACAATCATTGGCAAAAATGCTTCATTTTGCATAAGAAATGCTGAAGAACCCTGTGTCATTCAGCACCACAATCCTCAGAAATCGCCCACGTATAAAATAAAAATCACCATCGGCAGGATCGAGGTGAAGCGTCTGCGTGGGGCAGCTCTCTGGCATATTTAGTTTGTCCTGGGGACCTTGAGTGTAGCTTCTTTTCATAAAATGATTCAAATTAAACATTTATTAAAAACCTACTTGGATCAGGAACTTTTTCAGGTCTTTTCAAGTGTAATCTCCCTTGGTAATAACAGGGTTTTTCTGTAGGTCAGATGAAAACATTGATTTAAAGACATGCAGAAATGTATAAAGAACTATATAAATTAGGGTATCGTCTAAACGTAAGTGTGACCGGCCGCTGCATGGTTTACTGAGATGTGGTCAGCGTGCCCGGCTTCCCAATGACCACAAACGTGGCTGCTATTACTACACCCGTCTCACAGAGAAGGAAACAGGCTTTGAGCACCGTGACGGTTTGCCAGGGTCCCCTGCGTGCAAGAGGCAGCAGTGGGCGCACCGCCAGCAGCCCCAACTTTGAGCCCAAACCCCTGGCCCTGCCACGCGCCCTCAGTCTTCCGGGAGCACTGACACGCACGTCTGCTCCTCACGGTCACCCCACTAGGGAGGTTCTGGTGTCAGATGTCCAGTGTAGACCAACCAGAGACCCAGGGCCAGTTAAAACACCCTGAGTCACACAGCTGCTGAGAAGGGCTGGGATGGACCTGGGCCTGCACCCCGAGGGCCGCTCCCCTTTGGTGGGCCACGCTGCTCTCCTGTTCTGCCCTTGGGCTGATGAATTAGAGAAACACATGCTTTCTCCATGTGGACATGCCTTGGGCATGCATTCGAATCTCATCCTTGTGTTTGCTTTTACTGGAGAAAAAATTCAGTCATGAGAGTAGCACTGACTAGTGGAAACGAATTTGCTTTCTGAGACGTCGAACTTCGGTGACCTACAATGGAGCGCCCGTGCGCGGCTCCCCGAGGCAGGCGCACCACCGGCCCGGATGTGAGTGCAGGGGTCCCTGGGCCTTCAGCCCCAACAGTCCCCAGCTCCACGTCCTTCGGTTTGGCTTTATGACACGTTCAGTTTGCGGAGATCAGAGAGCACGTTTGGTCGTCCCCATCCGTTTTGGTTTGGTTTGTTCTGGTTTTCAGCCCTGACGGTTCACCCAACCTCACTAACCCGCAGAATCACCACCTTCATTGTCAGGTGTTGGGAGATTAAGGCAGAGAATGCAGGTAAACGTCACAGTATACACCCGGTGCATAGTAAATGCTCACTGAGAGTTTGCTGTCATTACTTGTGGCAACATTGGCTTCTTGCCTCATCAGCCCAAAATGAAAATATGTCTTTTCTTTCCTGCTCTTTCTCTGTCTATATTGAAATCTAGCTATATTATGTATAGTATATTTGAGTTTTAGTCAACATATGTTAATAATTTAAAGCATATTTAGTCTTAACTGTTTGTAAATAAATGGGTTTCTGCATTTTAGGTATCAGATTTAGTAATAATTCTGAATTACGGCAGAGCCGTAGAAGCTTTTGCAAAAGGCGGTAACCTGACGCTTGGAGGGAATTTCACGGTGGCCGTCGGGCCTTTGGGAAGGTAAGTCCTGCACGGCGCTTTCCGATTAGATGTTACGCGGTAAAGGCTGAAAACTACACTCTTTTACATGAAGAGCAAACTTGAATTAAAATGAAGAAATCCATGATGTATATGCCGCCCCCAGAGGATTTGAGGTCAGCTCAAACAGGAAATTCACAGAACACAGCCAGTGTGACAAGCTAAAAATCCTGTAACCAGAACGTACAGGAAGAAATGAGATGGGGTAAAACACGTAGCTACTGGAACTAAACGCACAGTTTGCCCGAAGCTCCGAGGGAGCCAAGGAAAATCACCTTTTGTAAACTGATACAGGACAGCTTGGATCAGAAAAGGAAAACTTTTTCTCAAACTAAACCATGGAAGTTTGAAATGGGTGTGTGTTACCTGAGCAATTGTGACTGTACGTAAAGTATGTTTTCCTTTTCTATTAAGGAGATACTATTCTTGAGTTAGTTAAGCAACGTAGAAATATTTTATGCCCACACTATTTATAGAAGTCGCACCGTAAAACCATCTCAAAAGGCTTATGGGTTCCAGGAAAATACCAATGTAAAAAGAATCCAAATTCTTTAGCACTCCTGAGATGTGTTTCCCTGTTTTAGAAGAGGAAGATCCAGTTGGAAAATGGCAGCTTTTCATATTCTTCTTTTTGTTTCTTACGTATTTACATATTCCGCATTATTCTGCGGCAGGGCCTGCCGTGCTAGCACAGTTGTGTGACAGTTTTGCGGAGCGTGTTCTCTGCCGCGGCTGCCTGTCCTCTAGGCCACGCTAAAACGTCTATCTTGGGCCAATGGGAAGTAAAACATGAAAACAAATGAATTAAGTGCAGAACCAGACACCTCTTGGGCTAGAAGTGCAGTGCTACTCAAATAGCCGTCTTTAGGCCGAGGGCTTCTCGGAGTTCTGTGGTACAGGGTCTCGCGCTTCGCAGGAACCTAGAAGGGAACGTCGCCCTGAGGAGCTCGGCCGCCGTCTTCACGTACTGCAAATCGCGAGGGCTCTTCGCCGGCGTGTCTCTGGAGGGGAGTTGTCTGATCGAAAGGAAAGAAACTAATCGAAAGTAAGTTCAAGCCAAAGTGATTTTAATCTGCTTAAACAAAGTGTGATGAGAAAATAATACTTAAAAATTGATGTGATTTACAGAATGCGTTTGTATGTTCTCTTTAATACAGCATGTGGCTGTAAGTATATGTTTTAAATTTTAAAATTCCAGATAAAAAGTAATATGTACTTATAGGAAATTTAGAAAACTCAAAAATTAAAAGAAAAACATTTCTATCCCATTAAGACAAACACTATTCCCATTTTGCTTTATTGCCTTCCAACATTTCCCTGACCTAAGCATCCTTGTCTTTGTTTTGCCGTATATAATTGTCATCATAATATGTATTCGGTTGTTAATACTTTCTTCCACCTAGCATTGTAAGAATCACAAGCATAAGTTAAGTAATACCTTATTAATGAGATGCACCGTGTTAAGTATATTTTTCAAAAACTTGCGGAGGCCACACCCGTTACCACCGTGGGCCAGTTGAGGTATTGCTCAGCATGAAAAGTTTCCTGTTATTACGCTCTGCTTTCATGTTTCCTCCGCATCAAATAGGGACAAATTTTAAAAATACAGTTTGGTTTTTAAAAAGAGGATTTGGAAGTCCCTAAGAAGTGAAGGGTAGCTTCTACTCTAAACTCACAGCTGGCTAATTTTTCGTAAAGACGCTCTTACAAATTGCCACTAACATGTGTGCCAAGGCCCAGAGACCCCTGAGGCTGACGGGCCCAGGCAGACGTCCCGTGGATTGCAAGCCCCACCAGGAACAGCAGACAGACCCCCCACGACGAGCAACAAATATGATGCAAAGTTAACCACGACAATGCACTCGGGAATTCAGCAGCACATTTGATAACGTCAAATATGATCCACAAAAAGTAGAAAGTAGAAGGAATGGAGAAAAACTAAGGCCTACAGAACTCTTCATCTTATAAAATCAACAGCAATGTTTTTACTCCTGGTTTTATTAATTTGAGAAAGACAACAAGAATGACTTTAGAAGTTCAGGTTCTAGGCTTTTGGAAGACTTTCTCACTAAAGTTCAACTAAATCCTGGATAAAATAAAACAAATATACTGCTTAATGAATTTCAGGTCTTTGGAACATGCAAGAGAAATCCTTATTTAATTTTGATAAAACTAAACATTTTAAAGAAATTACAAAGCCATATGTATAGATACCATTTTTGTTATTGTTTTTTTGTTTTTTTTTTTTCTTTTGAGACAGAGTCTCACTCTGTCGCCCTGGGTAGAGTGCAGTGGTGTCAGCCTAGCTGACAGCAACCTCAAATTCCTGGGCTCATGCCATCCTCCTGCCTCAGCCTCCCGAGTAGCTGGGACTACAGGCACACACCACCATGCCCGGCTGATTTTTCTATTTTTAGTAGAGACAGGGTCTCACTCTTGCTCGGGCTTGTCTCAGACTCCTGAGCTCAAGCAGTCCTCTTGCTTCAGCCTCCTGGAGTGCTAAGATACCATTTTTATAAGAAACTTAAAAAGTAAAATCTCATAAAATGTATGTGCTTGTCTGTATAGTTCTATAAGTATTTACATACAAATACATGTGTGTACATATGTGTAAGTATTTGTGTGCATATGTGGATGTGCTTTTATGTTAATAAAGGATACCTATCAGAATAGTTATGGTGGTTGCCGCTAGGGGTCAGCTTGGGGAGTAAATGTAGGAGTTAAACATGGGATGTTGCCTGCAGTCCGTGTTGAAAAAGTGGTACAGATGAAGTACTATATAGGAGTGATTACATATACACACATGCATGTAAATATGTAACTCTAGAAAAGATCTGTGTATACTGAAGACATGTTTCTAATTTTGCATTTATTAGATTTTATTGTCAAGATATTCGAGCTTATGATATTTTATTTGGAGATATACCACGACCTGCTCAAGCAGAAGATCTCTATGAAATCCTCGATTCCTTCACTGAAAAGTACGAAAATGAAGGACAACGAATCAACGCGAGGAGAGCGGCAAGGGAGCAGCGGAGGTCCTCGGTAACGCCGGGCTGTGCGTCCCTCAGCAGCCGGGAAACTGCTCTGTGCAGAGCATTCTGTCCTTGATACTGGGCTAATTACCTACTAAGCTTCCGTGTAGTTTCATTCGCATAATGCTCTTGTGAAATGTCACACACCTTGACATTTCACCTGTACAAATTTCAAGGAAAAATCGTCTGTTTTCCACGACTGCTTTTCTCCAAGGATGGCACTGTGTGACGTTAATTGATAATACCAGTGACGGCTGCAGTACCGAGCGCTGCCGTATATCAGGCCATGCAGTACCAGGGGTTTTGTGTGCCTCACCCATCCGGTTCACAGCACCCTTTCCGAGCTGGCCTGGCCGCCACGTCCGGAATGAAAGCTGTGGCATAGAGTTTCGTTTGCTGCTGCCTCTCCCAGTCGAGGCTGAGCCCGGTACCAGAGCGTCGTGCCTGCTGTGCCTCAAGGCCTTGCACAGGTTGTCAGAGGGGCCCGGGTGAGGTTAGCTCCCAGGTGTGAGAGGAGCTCACCCGTGTACGTCTGGATCTTGTCGTCCACTTCAGCTGTGCATGGGCCACAAGAGCACACGTGAGCTTTCAGGGTGCTTCACTAATATGTGCATAGGATAAAATTTGCCACATAAACTCATTAGCAGGAAAAAGTGTTATCTGTGTCTAAGTAAAAACAGAGTTTTAGAATTATGCACATTTATTTTTGTTCCCCCCAGGCTAAAGAAGTACCTCCAAAACCAGGTTCAAGACCGCAGCCTTCCTCTGCACCAGTCCAGCTGAACTCTGGCTCTCAAAGTAGGCATTTTTATTGCAATTCAAATACAATTGTGATTAATTATTAACTATTATTGTTAAGAAATCAAGATACATTGTTAAATAGAAGAACTAATAGATGTTTAAGAGAGAAAAAAGAAATGCTTAGCGTCTACTAAATACATAAGACAAATTCTTATTGGTATAATTTGTGAAAACTTCTCATTCTCTACAGAGATTTATCTTTAAAGTTATTCTTATTTATTTTCTTTGTCATTTCTTCCAAAGACTGTTTTCCTACTGATTTGAAATGTGAACAAAATAAGCTTGTTTTTCTTGTATACCCATAGATTTACAATTCTGAATATTGATTTTGCCATATATTCCTGTGAGCTCAGGATTTCAGAAGGTCGTTTTAAAACTAGATGAAACGTATAAAGCACCTGATTTTGGTCTTTACCTCTCTTTGTAGCATTCGTTTTTATGGCAATCACTCTCAGAATTCTGTTTTTCTTATATCGAGGTTACCAGTAAGTAGACATACACTAACGTGGGCGATCTTTCCTGCAGCGGCCGCCTGCTATGCAAGGGGCCCTGTGCTGTGGCTTGGGGAGCACAGAGATGACTCTAACTTAGATCCTGCCTGTAAAGAACTCCCGGTCTAGGAGGCGACGGTGCATGCAGAGGAATAACAGCACAAGTGGAACTATTAGCTATTAGCGGAAGGAGGCATACGGTGGGCTTTGGGGGGAGTGGAACAAACATTAAAGCAGAAGCAGGAGGCTCATCCTCAGCCTCCTCCTGCGACATTTAGCCCCGGCCCCTCGTGTCGACTCCAGGCTCTGCCTTCACCTTGTCTGAGTTCTCCCTCCCGGGACGATTCTCAGGAACGAGACCTATTCTTCTTCGTCACCCACCCCCGTCTCCTGTTCTCTGGGGACGCAGCATTCATCTTCTGAGACGGGTAGTCTATTGCTGATTCATGTTCAGATGATTAATTTGCTCATACTCGTGTTTCCAGTGAGTAATGAGATGTGAGCACTAAATCTATTTTTATCTTAGATCCGAGTGGTTATATAAAATTTGACCCACGTGTAGGTTTTAAAATATATAAGTTGCTTAAATTTTCTCACAGAAAGATTAGGTATCTGTGTGATGTACGCATGGAAGTCCTGTGCGTATGTGAAAATCCTAGTCTTTTTATTATCAGTTCCTTGTCAGTGTGGATTAGAAAACTACTGTGACCTTACCCCAGGAATCCTTTTCCTTAACAAAGGAAAAGCTCAGAAGATTTGACCCCCTCTGAGCACGCACCCTACAAACAGGCCCTCTGCGCGGGCGGCCGCGGGTGTCTGTCCCACGCGGGTCCTTCCTGGTGGAGACGCACGCACCCCCGTTTTGTCTGTCCCACGCGGGTCCTTCCTGGGGAGACGCACGCACCCCCGTTTTGCTCGGTCACGACTGCGTCCTCAGCAGCCCACGTTTGCCTGGTGCACTCTGCAGACTCGGCTTCTCTCACGACACGTTCTCATGAACACGCTTTCTCCCCCATGTGACGTAGTTCAAGTTTCGAACGCCGGTTTTTAATTCAAGAAAAGGAAAATTTAAAACTGGTATCTATTTTTAACCTTTTATTTTAAAATTGACCTATTCCTAAGTTCTTTTTTAAAAAACTAAATCTCCGTTTTTAATTTCTTTACATATCCTCACATATGAATGTAATTTTATATAAATGCACATGTGGTTCATATAAATCGGTTTCAAATGCAGTATTTTCTTCTTTCTCTCTTTTGATTTGCTGCCATCTTCCCGTCTCTCCTGCATTTCAACTCACACAACACTCTCTCCCAGCTTCGTTCCGGGAAACCCGTGTTCACAGCGTGAAGTGTAGACTTTTACATATTTTTCAGTCTTGTATAGTGCTACACACAGGCACGCGTACAAACTCACAGATACACATGGGCAGAATATCTTGGTTTTGTTGAACAAAAATGCTATCATATTATACATGCTGTATCTTGTTTGCATTTATTTATTTATTTGCTTGTTGGTTTGTTTTGCTCAATAACACCTCACGGAAGTCCCTGAGTCAACTAGTACAGCTCTAATCAGCCCTTCTTAATGGCTATTTAATATTCCATGGTGCTAGTGTACGTAGTTCATCCAGCCATTCTCCTATTGATGGGCATTAACTTTATTTCACACTTTTTCCATGCCAAATAGTGCCACAATTAATATCCTTCTAAATTAATATCTCTACATGCTGGCACTTTTAGTTTTTTGAGATAATTGCTAGAAATGAACATGATAGATCAAAGGATATATTTTAAAAGTTTTAACAAATTTAGTGAGGTACTTTTCAAAAGTTTTTACTGCACTAGAGTCTCATTTGCCATTCCCCACCATAACACTCCCCGCCATATACATTGACCACCATAACACTCCCAACCATATACATTGCCCACCATAACACTCCCAACCATATACACTCCCCACCATAAATATTCCCCACCACAATGCCCCCACCATAACACTCCCCACCATAACACTCCTTACCATATACATTGACCACCACATACACTCCCAACCATATACACTCCCCACCATAACACTCCTTACCATACACATTGACCACCATATATATACACTCCCCACCATAAATATTCCCCACCACAATGCCCCCACCATAACACTCCCCACCATAACACTCCCTACCATATACATTGACCACCATATACACTCCCCACCGTAAACACTCCCACCATAACACTCCCCACCATAACACTCCCAACCATATACACTCCCCACCATAACACTCCCAACCATATACACTCCCCACCATAAACATTCCCCACCATAACGCCCCCACCATAACACTCCCTACCATAACACTCCCTACCATATACATTGACTACCACATACACTCCCCACCATAAACACTCCCCACCATATACATTGACCACCATAACACTCTCTACCATATGTATTTCCCACCATAAACAGTCCCCACCATAATACTCCCCACTATATGTATTCCCCACCATATACACTCCCTACCATAACATTCTCCACTGTATATATTTCCCACTGTAACAGTCCTTACCATGTATCCTCAATCAACCCATACACATTTCCCACCAGATACACTCCCCACTATAACATCACCCACGGTAACATTTCCCATTATGTATGTTCACCACCATAAACTTTCTCCACCATATATACATTCCCCATAATTCCCAATAATATACATAATATACATAAACATATCCCATAATATACATTCCCTACTATATCATTCCCCACCTATACAGTGCCCAGCATATACATTCCCCACCATATACATTCTCACTATATGCATTCCCCACCATATATATTCCCACCATATACACTCCCACCATATGCATTCTACCACATACACTCCCCACCATATATAGTCCCACCATATACACTCCCCACTGTAAACATATACATGTTTATATACATAAATATACATTTACATAAATACACGTTCCCCACCATAAACATTCCCTACTATATATGTTTCCCACCATATATATTCTCCTACTATAACATCCATCAGAACATTCTTCAACATATACATCCCTTACCACTATTAGTGTTGAAGCATTTTGAAGTGTCTGTGAGTCAAATCTGGTTATATTTCCTTGTTAACTGGATTGTGTTTATCCCTGAATTATTTTATTTTATGTTTATTAGTGAATTTAAACATCTCTTCAAATAACTGGTGGAGTTTGGGATTTAATCTTATCTGAAAAGTGTTTTCATTTCATTGGTCCATTTTTTTCTATTGGGATATTTGTTGCTTTCTCAATTTATGGAAATGCTCTCTGTATTAAGAGCTTTGTAAATGATTTGGGTTGCAGTATTTTTTTACACTTATCATTTGTCTTTTGAACTTGTTTTCATAATTTTACTATACGAAAGTTTTAGTTTTAACATAAAAACATGTCTGTCATCTAGTTTTTATAGATTTGGATCTTTAAGGTCTTCCCACCTCCTAACAAGATTGTAGTCATAGTTGCCTAGATTTTCTTACGATATTTTTATTTTCATAGTTACTTGACACTTACTCTTCACATACTTTAAGATTATTTTATAAATTTTTCCCTCATCCCCAATATACAGTTTTAGTTAAAATCACATTATATACTTATATTCATTGTATAATTTTTGGATTCTAATTATACTATTATGTATATAAATTAATTTGA